AAAAAAAAAAAACCAAACCACATACATTGAAACAAATAGTATAGCTCAATATATCAGTAATTCAATATTCTCATTATCAAGGACTTAATTGTAAAACGTGTTAGTTCAACCTTTAAAATCTTAAAAACCAGAAATTCACTTTAAATATAAATCATAATAAGGTAAAAAGTAATAAAAGTGTATCTAAATTATAAATGTGGTTTATCCATTAAATGAATCAAATTTTAAATTTTTTTTTCAACGTTTATTTATTTTTTTTGGGACAGAGAGAGACAGAGCATGAACGAGGGAGGGGCAGAGAGAGAGGGAGACACAGAATCGGAAACAGGCTCCAGGCTCTGAGCCATCAGCCCAGAGCCTGACGCGGGGCTCGAACTCACGGACCGCGAGATCGTGACCTGGCTGAAGTCGGACGCTTAACCGACTGCGCCACCCAGGCGCCCCTCTTTCTTATTTATTATTTGCATTTTCTTTGGGTCCAAGAAATGGCATAGTGGAAAATGTGCATTTTTTAAATAACTGCCTTTTTTTTTTTTTTTTTTTTTTTTTTTTTTTTTTTTTGTCTTTTATCTTGAGGTCAGTTCCATACTGTCAGGTTTGTTTGAGTCAGGTTTCTATTTCGACAATGAGGGATCAAAGCAATGGCCAGTGTGATTTTGGCCAAGCAACCCATTAATATTAGTTTAGCTCTTTAGCATTTTTATTTATGGCAAGCTGGAAACCTTTAAAACATCTTTGATAATTTGTCCTTTACCACCACATTTGCTCTGCTAGAAAGGTAGCCAGAAAGTTAAAGCGTATCTGGCTTGTTAATGTGGCAGAAACTTTGAAATCAGGGTTGTCTAAATTTTTAGTGAAGCCATATTTTTCCTGTTTTTTTATTCAGTCATTCATTGGTTTGTTCACCCAACAGATCTCTTTTTAAAAATTACTTATTTATTTATTTATTTATTTATTTATTTATTGAGAGAGACAGAGTGTGAGTGAGGGAGGGGCAGAGAGAGAAGGAGACACAGAATCCTAAGCAGGCTCCAGGCAATCCTAAGCAGGCTCCAGGCTCCAAGCTGTCAGTACAGAGTCTGACGCAGGGCTTGAACCCACACAGTGTGAGATCATGAGCTGAGCCGAAGTCAGCTAGTTAACTAACTGAACCATCCAGGTGCCCCCCAACAGATCTTTTTTAAACATCTGTTGCATGTCAAGCATTATGCTAGGTACGTGTAATTAATATTCAGTTGTCTTCATTCTTATTCTAAGAATTCAGAATATATTATATATTCAATAAATATTGAATAGTTAGTTACCATGTTTGAGCAATGAATGAGACTCCTCTCGTCCATATTAGAAACTTGCCTAGATATGCTCTAATATATGCATGTTGACAAGAATTGGAATGAATTATTTTTTAGACTCTGAATTATTTTTGTTTGTTTTATTTAGACTTTGACTTTATGTCATTTACACAACTTCTTATTCAACAATTTGTGTTTCAAAAGTGATTAGAGCGTAAAGTTTTGAATGACTCTTGAAGTTAAATGAAGTTAAAAACAGAAGAACCTTCAAATTTAAATAGCAAATGAGCTTGCCTTATTAACTCACTATTTGGAAAGTAGAAAAAGACTTTTTTCTAAAGCCATGAATGATTTTTTAAAATTTAAGTTAATTTTTAATTTTTGGCCTAACTGCTAGGGTTTGGAGGAAAGAAAGCTTTCTGCCTGTTCCTGTGGTAACAAAAGTGACAAAATAGCAGGTGCCAGCAGCACTTCCAGTCAAGTTCAAGTCTGTGGAACCTTTGCTTCCATTGGCAATGAACTTTTCTGTTTGGTGGAGAACCTGTGGCTCCTAACTTGGTGGAATGACTTTCTTTAATTTATTTTTTCTTGTATCTATATATTATTAAGTTAGGAGTCAGTCAGAAATGCAGCATTAATTTTTAGGTTTTTTTTTTTAATATTCATGA